AGGGGTGGGGGAGGGCCCCCTCAGTGGTGGGTGTCCCCTCTCCTCAGAGGTGGGTGAGGGACCCCTGAGCCATGGGTGTCACCTCTCCTCAGGGGTGGGGTAGGGACCCCTCAGTGGTGGGTGTCCCCTCTCCTCAGAGGTGGGTGAGGGACCCCTGAGCCATGGGTATCTCCTCTCCTCACTGATGGGCGAGGGACCGACCCCTCAGTGCTAAGTGTCTCCTCAGCATTGGGTGAGGGACCCCTCAGCGGTGGGTGTCCCCTCTTCTTAGCAACGTGCAGTTAAGGAAAGCATTTATTTCTATTGAGGCTAGAGGATGACACAATTCCCCTCTGGCAGAAGTCTTGCCTTTCTGCTGCTCCTCAGAGGTGGCGGGAAACGTGTGGGTGCAGCTTAGTGTGTGTATGCAGTGTACCTGGATCCCAAAAAACTCTGAACAAGGTCCTGCACCAAATGTCCTTAGTCCGTCTCATGCTATGAGATGCCGCTCTCCCCGGTTAAGCAGACAGGCAATGAAGGGTAGGACAGCAGGTCAGTTTTCAAGGGGGAGGGAAGTACCCGTGATGCCTTCCTCAGGAGCTGCACTAGGGCTTGTGCTTTCCAGCAGCTTCGTAAATTGTCTGAAAAAGCACATGAGCGATGATGGGGCAGAATTAGCTGTGACACTAATTTAGGGCAGTAAAGGGCTGAAGCTGCCTTGAAGAGTTCAAGAGGGCAGTAATGGTGCTGAGTGACCGGGCGTATCAACAGCAGATTGTGGTCCATGTTGGTAAATGCTAAGTGATGCACAGGTGGTGTAATCCAGGATGCATGGCACGAGGGTGGACTTAAATTAGCTAACGCAACTCACAGAAGAGATCGGAGCACCGTGGTGATGTCAGCTCACTGCTTTGCCAAGAAAAAAGTGAAGTAAACATAAGGGATTATCAAGAAAGAAACAAAGAACAAACCAAAAAAACCCTGTCCTGCTGTTGTATAAATCTTGGGTGAAACCTCTTCTCAGTTATTGCCCATGGTTTTGTTTCTCCCATCACAAAAGGGTCAGAATCAGAAACAGCAAGCACGCATGGGGCCCCAGGGCTGTTTGGGGGAAGGGGTGGTTTCCATGCAAGGAAGGAACAAAGCAGGCATGGCTACCCAGCCTGGTGAAGTCTGTGCCTGTAGCATCCCGGCTTGTACAGGATCAGGGAGCAGTGAACGAGCACTTGCTCCCTCGGGATAGCGGATTTACTGCACAATCTACTGAAATC